ACTACCTGACCAGCTCCAAAGTAACATCTGCTCTTGCAGTCTCATCAGAGCCCACGGAAAAGTAAGTCAAGACAACTCTCAACGCGTTCAGAACCAGGCTCCCTACAAACATGCAGGCCAGTTTATTAACTGCAAAATACAGCTATAAGGGAGCCTACTTAATATTTCTGTGCCCAAGCTCCAATAGCTCAATCCAGAGACATCTCTGGCTATAGCTGGTTCATCACAGTATTACTCTTCTAGCATCCTTGAACAGACAGGCACTTACAGTCGCAGTTCCTCAAAAGACTTCACAGAGTAGAGAGGCGATGTGGGATCCCTCTGCAGCACTTCCACTTGATTTGTTGTGTCAACCAAGTTACTGCGAATTAGCTTGTTCAGCAAGGACTGGGCAGCTCTATCCTCTGTAGAAAAAGGAGATAAAAGTTGCGGTCTGTTTAAAGCGTGACTCCCATTGAAACGCCGCATTACCGAGCCAGTTAAAAAGGACGAGATGCATCCAAACCAGAAAACATTGAAATCCCCTTATTATAAAGGAGCGTCATAAAAGATCCAAAAGTAGCTGAGTGAAACATCTATCGAGATACCCGAGGGTTCACATTTTATATTTAGGAAGACAAACCAAAGCAAGCACTGTTTCAAGGGGGATAAGGCCATCTTAACACACAAAGAACTCTGCTTACTTATCATCTAACTGGAGGGTAGGACAGGGTTAAAAGCCACTTTAAGCCTCACTTAACTGACACGCGGACAGATGCCTTTTACATTTTGTTTTAAAGAAAATTTGAGGACAGAGTATGTTGAAAGATTCTAATATATCCAGGACTGAGAATAAGCTAGATCAAAACGCAAGGCTGAACTGTTGCACTGTGGGGTTTTGCCAAGAACTCTGTTTTCCAAAGCAAGTTTCTCTTAAGCCACCTTCTGAAGGATTTAGAGCCATTACCCACCTCTTCACAGCCATTTCATAAACGCAACACGTTGGTTGCTACAGCAATTCCAGCTCCAGGTTATCCAACTGCTGCTGTGTCCAGTCCTGCCTTTGAGGACACTGCTGTCCCCTTATTTCTCTCCATCCTAATTCAGCAGTCTCCCAAGTTATTACAGGACCCAGTAGCTTTAAAAGTATTATAGAAGAAGGACATGCCTTACGATCAAGGCCTTTAGGCAGCATCCTGAGACATAAGGTAGACTTACTTTAAGTATAGGCATAATTAATTTCTTCGCAATATTCCACTCCAAAATACTTTCCCTAAAAGGTACTTACCTTTTTCCTCATCCTCCGTCTTCTCGATGTTGTCATCCGTCTTGACAACAGCACCTGAATTCAAAGAGTGGTGGGGCAGACATGAGATGGGGCCCCACCGCAACAGGGGAAGCCCACACCTACAGAAGTTTTGTTTTTAAATACAGTGAAAAAAGCTACAAAGCAGGTCACGAATAGTACATGGAGGGCACCCAGGTTACAGCTCACGCTGTACAGCCAAGTTCATGCTGAAGTTTGTAGCAAGCCAAACGTACCGAGACGTTTTAACAGCTCTTTGAACGTAGCAAAACACGATTAAAAAAAGCTAGCCTCGCAGAACAGGCCCGTGGGCCGGACAGCTTAGGCGAAGCTACGGCTTAACCTTACTTTCATGCGCCTTTTCTCTGGAATTTGTTGACTAAGGGGGAACTCAGTTCAGCACCAACGTGCAGCGAACCAAGCAGCGGGGTAAAACGCGACCGTTTTGTCCTCGTTTCTTCCAGAGCGATTTAACGGCCGTAACTCACCATTGGCATCCGGTTTGGTTCTTTCCTCCTTCAGGTGTAAATTGCTCAACTACAAGCGAGGAAGAACAAAAAGAGAGAGAGCAGCCGGGGGGAGGGGGCGACAGCCTCAAAAGGGAAGGGAAAAATCGCACCGAAAAGGGCGGTTTTAGGCGGTTTGGGGGGGACGGGACGGGACGAGCCGCTCCCCCCTCACGAGGCGGC